TGGTCATAAGTGTTCATTTACATTAAGAAGGAATTAATTTTATTTTTCCAAAACTTGCCTATATTTATATATTCTAATGTCTCAAGGTAAAAATTAATTAAGGTTAATTTAGTGAATACATCTTTTTTTTAGGAGTTCGTATTTCCTTAATGAGTGTTTCAAAGGTAAAATGGTCACTTATTGTGGACCGAAGGGGGTAGGAATTAGCGAACACATATACTCCCTTCGACCCCAAATATTAATCGTTTAATTAAAATTTATTTTAAAATATTTGACGTTTACAAAAAAAAACAAAAAAAAAACGTACCTCGTAAATGGATTGACCAGTACCAAAAATGAAATCCATGGCACCTTCAATGGTACAAAGCTTGAAATAATGTCTGCCATTATCATCCAACAATGTATCTTGTAAACCAGAGAAAGCACAACCATAAAATGCAGATTTATCCCCAGAAATCATCGCTGCTAATGCCGGTTTCATCTGATTTCCGTTATTCTCAGGTGGGTAATTATAAGAATTCTATTGCAAAAACAAAAAAAAATAACATTAAAAATATATATAAACAGGAAAAGAAAATCTTAAGAGGGTCATATGATTTAAGATTTCTTACGGTAAAATTAAGGTTTTCCACTATAATATTGTCAGCAAAAGAGGAAAATGTTGGACTTGTAACAAGTGAGTCATGAGCACCCCATATAACAATAGTTGTTTTCACGTCTGCACCTTTTAAATAAATAAATGGTTTATCAACTGGGATTGTCACCTGTTCCCTTCATATAGTAAATGCAAAAATTAATTAGTCTCTAATGCGAATTTATAAAATAAATTAAAAAAGAACTCCAAGAAAAAAATGCACACATATCCCTTTTTTTTGTGGTAAATAAACATATATTTATGTCGGGCTCGAGCCGTGGAAACAGCGTCTTGCAAAAATGCAGGATAAGGCTGCATACAACCTTGTGGTCCGGTTCTTCTACAAACCCCACACATAACGAGAACTTAATACACCAGATTGCCCTTTCTTTATGTATGATTTATGTAGAATAATATATAAACCACCTCAAAACAAATATTGGAACAATAACGACAGCAACAACAATAACGCCTCAGATTATATGTGTGTAGAAATCTTTATAGATTTCATTGTGCACATGTATAAGAGCAGAGGCGAATTCAGGATTTGAATTTAGTGTGTTCATGTTTAAGATTTTTAACTTTAAATTCCTTCTGGAGTTAAAATTATGGGTTCAAATCTAATACTTATTACAATTTTAGTAAGTTTTTACATGTAAAACATATCCTGTGTCGGAAGTTTGGGTTCAATTGAACCCGTAGCTGAAACGCTATATCTGTCCCTATATAAGAGCAGAATCTACTGACTCTAAATCTTGGATTCACTAACAGATTGTGCAAATATATACAGCAACAACAAAAACAACCCAATAAAATCTCACAAGTGGGCCTGAGATTTTGCAAATATATGCATATATAAAAATGAAGAGAAGAGAGTGAAGAAGTGTACTTGTACAAGCCAGAATTGATGAAGATGCAAATCCAATAAGAATTGTTGGAAGGAATAGAATCAATAGCAGATTGAATTGTATCAAAATGGGCAAAACCAGATTGATCTACATAAATTGTTGGAATAAATCCAAATAAATTCATTCCAATGGATGGCCATTGCAATACTCTTCCATTTGATAATCCATTAAACAAACACAAAAGTGCTATAATTGTAAAGAAATATACGGCCATTTTTTTAAGATTATTTGTAAGAAGAATAAAGAAAGAACCTTGAATATATATATATGGATTGATGAATTGAAGTTGAAGAGAAAAGGTTATGAAATTTTAGACAATGGAAAGTCAAAAGAGAAAGTGGGGTAAAAGAAAAGACACATTGAAATGAACTGAAGTTCATGAGAAAAGGTTTTGTGTTTTATTTTTAGAAGAATGAAAAGTCAAGAATTAAAGAGGGAGGGTAAAAGAAAAGTCGTTGATACTTACTCTAATTAGGTAGTAGATAGTGGAGTAATAATTATTACTAACTTAATTAACTCTCAATCTCTCCCATCTACTAATTATAGTTTTATTTTTGTTAAATGATAGATAAAAAGTATTTCTTTTAAGTCACTCTCTCTCCCACCCCCCACCCCCCAACCCCCAACCCCCAAAACAAAAAATTTATTACACTCTCTTCGTCTCAAATTATTTGTCAGTCTTTTTCTTTTACACGCCCCTTAAAAAATTCTTTCTCCGGTCCACAATAAGTGACCAATTTGCTTTTTTATTTTGGCCCAAAATAAGTGTCCATTTATATAATCATGAAAAAATTCAATTTGTTTTTTCAAAAATACTCTTATGTACGTATCCCTAAAAAGTCATTTACTCCTCACATTTGAAAAGAGAAGTAAGTGCTACTATAACTATGCTGCAACATTTAATTAAGGGTAGTTTAGTCACACTAACTATTTTTGTCTAGAATTTAGTATTTCCTTAATAGGTGTACCCAAAGCAAATTGGTCACTTATTGTGGACCGGAGGGAGTATTAATTAAGGAGTTTTGACTATTTTACCTTTATGTATGTAATAAGATATAGTTTCTCTTCATTGAATATTTACTCTTTTTATCTGTCATCGTAGGCGTCAAAAATAATTACTCCCTCCGGTCCAAAATAAGTGATTTTTTGGATGTTTTCACACAAATTAAGAAATCACCTTTTAGCATTAATTAGCAATAGAATTGGACCATATTAACCTTACTATCTCACATAAAACTCCTAACACATTATTCCAATACCATTTACTTTTCAAGGACAATGTAGGAAAAAATAATTAATATCATTTTGAATCTGAAAAAATATTTTGGATCCACAAGAAAAAGGCCAAAAAAATACTGTGTTTTTGGGACGCCCGGAGGGAATACTGGTTAAGGTAAAAAAAATAATAATTTTATTTTATCTTGACTTCTAAAATGACATATAATTTGAGACAACTACTTTTTTGAAATCACGAAAGGTAATTTGAGGCAGATGGAGTAAGTAAAAATTATATTCTCACATTAAATTTATTGTCTCAATCTTCGTCCTATATATGGTACAATACGAATGCGTACGAAAGTCGATATTATTTTGCTACGCATATTCCTCGTTAGTTTATAAGTGGTTTGGGTATCACTGGCATTTTCCAAAAAAAAAAAAAGAAATTCCCAAAATTCTTTATATATGCTTAAAGGTTTCGATCAAGATTTTAATATGTAGCCCTCACACTTGGAGATTTCTTTCTTTTCTTTTATAGAAATCAGAATTAACCAAAAGTAATTCTCTTTCAACTAGAACATAAAAGGGCAAAATATATAAAAACTAGCTAGCCGGCTGATACTAATTGCATTCGCTAGCCGAAAAATGTATAATATATATATATATATATATATATATATATATATATATATATATATATATATATATATAGAATTGTCCGTCACTCCAGCCATTAATGTTCTCTTTTTTATTTTAGAAATACATTATACGGTCAAACAGGTGGAAAAAAATCTTACCAGATGAATCGGGAAAAGCAAAGGGCAGGACGGCAGGTAATTGTTGGTTAGTTTCACTATTGAATTAATGTTAATAAATGCATTTAATAATTTAAAGCAAAAAGAAAGGCGTGGGGACATCCGATATGATGAGTAACCACTATTTTCTAGCTTAAATGAGGGTCACGGCTGGTGAACTTTACGGCAAGTTATATTTGTGGCAAATAATTTGACTAAGTTTTAGCATTAATTAACAATAAAATTAATTATATTAACTTTAATTTGTTTATTGAAAATACAACAAATATTCCTAAGCTCTTTACTCCAAGGGTAACTTTGAAAAAAAGAAGTTAATTTCTTCTTGATATATGAAAATATAAAATATGGAGGACCACAAAAAAAGAAAGTCAAAAAATTAATTAAAGTGGAGCGGAAGGAGTACAAAAAAAAATAAAAAATGCAAAAGTTTCCGTTGAGGGTTTAATGATTGATACATGAACTAAAATTTCAGCTTCTATTAAGGTTTTTGTCAAAATAGTTTTCAGAATGTTGTCACAATTAGTTTAAAAGTATATGTGAAGATATGAAAATAACAAAAGAAAATATACGCAATTTGTTTTAGTAGTATTTTCGTAATTTCCATTTTACTCGGAACAGTTTAACAGTAAACATCAATTCAATTTTCAAATCTATATCTCTAAGGAAAGGAAAGAGTCAATAAAGCAAAATAACAATTGAAAACAATAATTAAAAGATACCGAACTCTAAATTTTCATATGATACTTATAAAAAAAATCACCGTTGGAAAAATCATTACTCTGAAGTTTAGTTGTAGTAGTTCAAAGTTCAAACTTCTAACTGTTTGTTTTTCTTTTTCCCTTTTTATTTCACATAGTAGCGATTTTCATATTAATCAAATGTGTTACAACAGTTTTGGTGATGATTTATCATTTTCTTGCCTTAATAGGTCATGCCTGGTTGTTTAGGTATATATGGCATGCTTATAGTATACTGAAATTGTTCAATGTACAAGAATTGAAGTATTGGAGAGAAGTGATTATGACAGATCTATTAGTAGTATTCTCGTATTTTCTTTGTTCTTAGAAGTGTTATTTCTTTTGATCAATTTCAATTTCCATATGTTTCAGCCATACAAACCTTTAGAAACTACCTTTTCCTGTATGGTTACTTTTAAAACCTTAAAAATTGTTCTCTGCATCGACTTACATTTTATTAAACTTGAGTTCTTGTAGTAATTGAAACTTTAGGATGTCAAATAATTACTGTAAAATAACTAAGAGTACTTTCTTGTAAAAATTAATAATAATGTAACAGTTAACTCACAAACTACGTAAAAGTCAAAATAGATAAAAATATAATCTAAGGTGAATTTTATTAAACATGTGGTCTCTATTTAACTATCTTACTTCATTAATTATATAGTTTCAAATGTGTTCAGATTCCTTCACAAAAACTTCCATAACTTTAAGTAGCAAAATATATGATAATAGAGGAAACACAAATGTCTGCTCAATGAAAAATATTGTTAAAACTGAAAACAGTGTCCTAAGAAGGAACAAATTAAACCAAAACATCAATCTCCAGCAAAATTGTAATTCAAACAGCTATATTTAGACTTCAGTACTTGATCGGAGCAATAATGGCGAGTTGAGGACCAAGCTTCTCCTCGGCAGCCTTCTCGGCCTTAACCCTAAGTTTTGCTAACTGCTTTCTCCTCTCATATGCTACTTGAGCTCTTTCCTTTCTCTTGTTCTCAAGTTCCTGCGGTTAACAAGGGAGAGTGAATAATATGGTACTCGCACCACAAAGAGAGTTAGATATCAAAACAAAAAACGACTTCAATTCTATTTGCAAACTACAGGTATGAAAGATCATCCTACAAGAAGTGCAGAAAAAGGAGCCGGGGCTCATAGTGCAAGCGTTAAGCAGAAATAGACTGAACGCAGCCTGCTGCTTCGAGCAGAGAATTACATTTCATATTGGTATAAAGAATATAAAAATGAAGTCAAGAACATTATTTAACAAGAATAGCTAACTGTTCAAGTTGCTCCGTTGATTTCAAATGTAAGGTAACACAACAACTAGAGAGAATCGACATATGGTCAATGAAAAAGACCAGATGCGAGAAACATACCTTGATAGTATCATAATGGTTCCATCCAACCTCGGACGAAAGCTTGCCCAAGAGGCAGTATTTATGTCCAGCCTGGAGCCTCAATACCCTAGTCAAGAAGAAGAGTAAATGCTTCAGTAAAAAAACGAAACAATATTAGAATAAAATAAATTATAATTGCCGTCCTGTCACTCACTTGAGAGCATCAGGAATGACCATCCTCTTGATCTTGTCATATGGGGGTGGAACACCCTCGTAAACCTTCAAACGGGCAAGTGCGGCGGCTCCACGCTTAGTTTTGTGGGGAATCATCCTAATGTAAAATAAACAAGACATTAAAATTGACAACTGTACAAGCAGAAGAGTTACCAATACTTGCCTAATCAACTAGTTCTAAATGCACTGATAACAAATGAATTATTCATCAAACAAATGGAGATAAAAGAAAAGATACTTTAGATTGAGTGAGTGGGTTGCATATAAAGAACACAACATCTAATCAAGTAAACTTTAATCACATGTCAATAGCAGTCATCCTTATGAATCCTCTATCGTCATCCCTATGAATCCTCTGTACTGACTACCTATTCAAGTTCTTTCGAATACTAAATAATCTGTCCTCTCAAGGATAAAAATAGGGTTCTTTAAAACTACGTTTATCTGAACACAAATCCTTAACTAACAAACACTGGGCTTACAAGTATGACAGTAATTATCATTTCATCAATTTAGACAGGCATGCTGATAAAACCTGAAGACGGAAGGTCAAATATTGGAGTACTAGCTTAAAATCTTTCTTTCCAACTTGTGTAAACACATTAGCACTAAATAAAATCAAAGAACATTGAGGCAGACAATATAAATACCTCTTGTGAACTTTCACTACAATAAATAAGCTGGTCTACATCAATCAAAGGAGCATCTACACTTCCAAAACTAACTCACACATTCTTAATTTTCACTTGAACACCGCATAATTAAATACTCACACAACAACAACTGAGCCTCTATCCCAAACAAGTTGGGTAGACGATATGAAGACTCATTCTTTATTTAAGCTCAACTCGTATCATTATGAGGATTCATCTAAATCAGAGCTTGGCCCTGGCAATGTGAGCAATCAATTACTAATACATTTACAAATAATATATCCAAATCGGCATTAAGCACGTCAATAGTTCACCTAACCCTTCATCATGAAATGAAATTTCCCATTACAATCCATAACGTAATTATCTCTAAAACAAGAACCATATATACACAATGCATATACATAATATACGAGATCTACTTCTTAATTCAGCTCCTAATAACATAAAAATAGAATTTTAATTCAAAAAACAATTAAAAAGCACACCATTTACAATAAATAAAAACATACCCACGAATAGTACGCCAGAGGATTTTAGAAGGAGCACGAAAGTGAATCGGACCATGAGAAGGTTTAGTGTTCATCCTCTTACGTAAAAACCTAAGGTACTTCATTTTCTGCCTAACGAGTCCACCACTTAAGCAAATTTCTTCACACCTAACAACTACTACTTTTTGTCCGTTCAACAATTCCTTGGCTAAGATTGAGGATAGCCTTCCAAGCATGTGGTGGCGCGCGTCCACCACTATCCTCCTTGCTGAGATTCCTGATCCTGATACCATTTTTTCCCTCTCTTTCTCTCTCTCTCACGCTCTCTCTCTCTCTCTCTCGATCGAGCTCAAACGTCTGCTACACAGAGCTGCTGCTAGGGTTTGAAGAGAGTGTCATTTGGTTATATTTATATGATGGTGAAAGCGGATGTAATTGGGCTTTGGGTGAGTGTGTGGTAAGGGTTTCTGACTTCGGCCCAATAGAATAGTATATGTCCTATTTTAGAAGCATTTTACACAAATAACCGGTCATATTTATTATTTACTTTTTCTAGCCATATATATATACTAGTATATATTGATTATACACATATAATACATATATTATACCTCCACCGACTATTTTTAGTTTCAATGATTCGGTGAATTGCTATTTGGATTAATTCTTCGATTTATGCAGATGTCCCTAATTAGGCCATTGTTTCGATTTTATCCCTATTTTTCAAAAATGTTCAAATATAGCTCCTGAAAAATTATTCCTTACAAACAATATTAGGCTTGGATCTAATACTAGCTCATGTAATTTTTGGTTGCGCACGAAATATTATATTGTGGTCTAATATTTGCGGTAACTTATAAAATTTTGGATTGTAGTCTAACGTTTTCTCATAAAATTTGCGTAAAAATTGCATGGGGCGCCCTTTTTGGTCGCCCCCTTTTAACTTATACCCGTTTTATTTTTTCGTTTGCATCCATACCCATTTTTTTGTTAAAAGCATTTTAAAAAGACAATTTTGCCCTTCAGGACTATTGACAAAACTGTAGACTGCTGGACAAAACTACAGCATGTTCTGGTATGAAGTTTCAGCAAATGAACTAAATAACTTCAGCATGCATTGGAAAAAACTCATTAGAAAATTACATACTGCAAGACAAAAACTTAAGCATGTTTATTTTGAAGTTTTAGCAAATGAACTAAAAAACTTAAGCATATTTAGTCTGAAGTTTTAGCAAATGAACTAAAAAACTTAAGCATGTTTAGTCAGAAGTTTTAGCAAATGAACTAAATAACTTAAGCATGTTTAGTCTGAAGTTTTAGCAAATGAACTAAATAACATCAGCATGCATTAGCAAAAACTCATTAGAAAATTACATTAAGCAAGACAAAAACTTGAGCATGTTTAGTCTAAAGTTTTAGCAAATGAATTAAAAAGCTTAAGCATGTTTAGTCTGAAATTTTCGCAAATGAACTAAATAACTTCAGCATGTTTAAACTGAAGTTTTATCAAATTAACTAAATAACTTCAGCATGTTTAGACTGAAGTTTCGGATAAACAACGGTGCTGGTGCAAAAATAGTAGCATTCTTCTTGCCAGATTCCCCATTACTGTTGTTGGCATTTCAGCTGCTTTCTTGACATTATCTTTTGAGTCTTTAGAACATACGGACCCTTCATGGCTAATCCCTGTGTTTGATAACAAATATTTCTTTTCTCACTATTCGTCCCTCTAATTTCTTCTTTTCTACTTGTAGGGTATTTGGTTTGATTTCTTGATTTGTGCTTGAAACTACAAGAGGAGTAGAAGTACTAGCGCTCTTACCCATTTCCTTTTTTACCCGAAAATTAAGGGAAAGGGAAGGCTTTTGCAATGAAAAGAAGGCAAATTTGACAGGGGTGTAATCATCATATTATTACGGATTTTTTGTCAGCTGGCTACCTAATCAATAATTTTTAAAAATAGGGTACAGGTTAAAAGGTGACACAAATATAGGGTATGACTATAAATCCCCCAGCATTTTCAGCTTTCTAAAAAAGGATCTTTGCACTGTATCTAAAAGGTCCATTAATTGCAAGAAAAATAAAAAGAGGATCATTCAATAAACAACTTATACAAAACCCCTATGTATAACAAGTTGAACTATTTATCTACTAACTCAAACAAGCCCTCATCATCCAACCACTCATCTCCCATTATGCCAAAAACAAAAGAGCAGAACCATGGCCAGATTCCATCACACAAATTACCAACGCAGATACAATAGGAACAGGAGGAATGTTTGGATGAGAAATCAAACAAGAACACCTCACCATGCACACCATGCACCATACCTACCCATGAACCCTCCGGAGCCAATAATCTACACAACACCACCATTACCAATGAATCATGCTCCACGGTCATGGCTGGAATACGGACTGACAGGCTTCTCCCTCAACTTGAATCTCCAGTTGGAAGGGCGAGACAACACGATTCAGCTGGAAACTCCGAGCTACCTTGCTCAAATAGTGACGGAGGGGCTGAGGATTGGGCTGGACAACGTGGCAAACCACCCATGGCTGGCCTTGTTCAACAACCAAATGCCTCCCCCAACCCACCCCACCTTGGGGATTCACCCATCACCATGGAGCAGACAACCACGAGCCACTCCTACTGCTCCTATAGGGTTGAGCATGCAACTCCCCTTGTTCCAAGAAACCATACCCCTAATCCAAACACACTTCCAGCAACACCAGGCAGCCCACGATGTAAACAACCACACAAATCCAATACCACACACAAACCAAATGCAAACAGCAGCTGCCCAAAACACAGCTACAGTGGCAGCACCAAACAGTCCCCATGCACTTGCTCAAACACAGACGGAAGAGGGGGAAGACGAGGAAGGATCATCGACAGCAAAACGAGTGGAGTACGGCATGATAAGGGACCCAAAGACGCTGGTGTTCAAGGAAAGAAGAGAAAAAAGATACATCTTACGTTGCCCGCACGACTTGAGGAAATTCTCGATCAATATAAGAATTCTTCAAAGTCCCCCGGGAATCTACAAGTATGGGACAATAATAATCCCAACCCTATACGAGCACCACTGGATGAACCAAGACAATATGGCATGGGGGAGTCCACTCCAGGAGACTCCACGGTAGGCACAGGTAGAGACGTCCCAAACCCTAAATAGATCGATGAGTGTTATAATCTGGAATTGCAAGGGAGCGGGCAATGAGGAGTTCAGGAGGATATTTAGATCAATGTTAGACTATAACATACCCTTTTTTGGTGGCCCTACTAGAAACAAAATTAGGGGATCACCAAGCTTTAATGGTGGACTTTGGGTTCACAAAAATGACTCAAGTTGCAGCTCAGGGCAACTCAGGTGGAATGGTTATGATGTGGAATGAAGCAGAGGTGACAGTAGATCAAGTAGCAAGCACTGACCAGGAAATTCACGCCATGGTAAAGGTAAATGATTCTCCACACCAATGGCTTTTATCAGTTATTTATGCTAGTTGTTTATTAGAGGAAAAAAGTATCCTATGGAACAACCTAAAAATAGTAGCAAACTCCTTTAAAGGCCCCTGGTTAATCACGGGGGACTTTAATGAAGTGACAGGGGCAAATGAAAATTTTGGAGGATTACCTGTCAACAATAATAGGGTTTCCAAATTCATAAACTGTATTGACTACTGTGAACTCCTAGACCTAGGGTTTAAAGGTCCAAAGTACACCTGGTCCAATAAAAGTAAGAAATCAAAGTCAATAATAATGGAAAGATTAGATAGGTATATGGCAAACACCAACTGGATCAATATATACCCTGAAGCCCAAGTAACACACTTAACCAGACTGTACTCGGATCACTGCCCTATAAAACTCGAATTAAGAAAAAGTACGCCCCGTGATAATAAAGTCTTTAGAATAGAATCAATGTGGCTATCACACCCCACCTTTAAACCTCTTGTAGAAGCCAATTGGAACGTCAATGGCTCTATTCTAACGACTATTGAAAACTTCACAAAAGAAGTAAAAAATTGGAACATAACTACATTTGGGAATATCTTCCATAAAAAAGATATTACGCTGGCTAGGCTCAACGGGATTCAGAAATCTCCTAAATACTCTACTAGTCAATTTCTAAGAGACCTGGAATCAACTTTAACAGAAGACCTTAATGGTCTTTTAAAACTAGAAGAGGAATTCTGGAAGCTAAAGTCAAGAGTATAATGGCTAAATGAAGGGGACGCAAGCACAAAGTTCTTCCACATTACCACAATGCAACGTAGAAAAAAAAATAGACTCCTTAGCCTTAGAGATGAGGGGGGTAACTGGTTTTATGACCAAAAGGAGATTATCCTGTTAATTACTGATTTTTTCCAAAATCTCTTTACAACTAGTCATATTTCCTCTATAATTAATCAAACGCCTATGTCTCACTATACTACTCTCAGTATTAGGGACCACCTTGAACTGAGCATAGAACCTGACCTACAGGAAATTAAACAGGCAGTCTTCTCCTTTAAACCTTATAAAGCGCCAGGACCGGCGGCCTCCACCCTTTCTTCTACCAAAAGTTCTGGAATGAAACAAAAAATGCCTTAATTGATTTTTGTAAAGAGACTTTTCGAAATAAATCAATGACAAAGGAAATGAACAAAACTTACATATGTTTAATTCCAAAATGTAAGAGTCCGAAAACAATAAAATAATTTAGACCTATAAGCCTCTGCAACACTGCTTACAAAATTATTACAAAATTTTTGGTTAATAGAATCAAACCTCTACTCTCAAAAGTCATACACCCCACTCAAACAAGCTTCCTAAAAGGGAGAAGAGCATCTGATAATGCCATCATTGTGAACGAAGTAGTGTCTTACTTCAAAAGAACTAAAGGGAAGAAAGGGAAAATGTTAATCAAAATAGACCTGGAAAAAGCCTTCGACAAAATAGAATGGTCCTTTGTAAGATTCTCTTTGATATCTTTAAATTTTTCCAAAGATATGATTGATATTATAATGTCCTGCATTTCGACCACTCAAACTTCTATCCTGATAAACAGGTCTAGCACGGAATTTTTTAGACCAACAAGGGGGATTAGACAAGGGGATCCCCTATCCCCATACCTTTTCATAATCTGCATGGAAATGCTATCTAGGCTGATACACCATGAAATTGACTGCTGCAGATGGACGCCCATCAAATTATCTAATAAAGGACCACAATTGTCTCATCTGCTCTTTGCAGATGACTTAATCTTAATGGCAGAAGCCAACCAGAAAAGATGTAATTCAATAATAAATTCCCTTAATAAATTCTGCAACTATTCGGGACAGTCCATTAATTTTTACAAGTCTAGAATTATGTTCTCCAAGAATACCTCCTCCAGAAACAAGGAATACATTAGCCAATGTTTATCCATGAAACCCTCGAATGAAATAGGGAAATACCTAGGATTCCCAATCCTGAACTCAAACCCATCCAAAAGAAATTTCCAACCTATCATTGATAGCCTTAACAGTAAACTGCAGGGATGGAAAGTAAATCTCCTGACCACAGCAGGTAGGACTACCCTAATAAAATCCACTCTTGCAGCAATCCCAAACCATATCATGCAAATATATAGCCTTCCAAAATCTACCCTAAAAACTATTGACACAATACAAAGAAACTTCCTGTGGGGGAGCACATCTGAAAAGAGAAAATGTCACCTTATTAATTGGAATACAGTAACTAGGGACAAAAAAGAAAGAGGTCTGGGGTTATATAAAGCCAAATGGAAGAACCAATCATTCAATGCAACTCTAGCATGGAGATTTGCAAGAGAAAAACAATCTCTTTGGGTTCAAGTCCTTCAAAACAGATATAACATCAATATGAATCCTTCCAGGTGGAAGGATCTAGAGAAAAAAGGAGGAACTCACATCTGGAAAAATATCTGTATTAGAGGAGAAATCTGCGAAAAAGGCATACATTGGGAAGTAGGGAATGGGGAATCCATCAACCTCTGGCATGATGCCTGGATCATAGACTCGAGGCTCCTACATTCCCTCATTTCAGGAGCCTCTGCCCCTCAATGAATTAAATCTATCCCTAAGTTCAATTCTAGTGGAGGGATCTTTCAATATCAATACCCTCTCTTTCGAACTACCTGAAACCATCCGTAGAAAAATTTTCAGCACTTATATTAAACAAAGTGAGCCGGCAGTAGATAAATTTACTTGGGAAGAGGGACCTAATGGTTCCTTCTCGACGAAGGCTGCCTACAAAATTATCAAAGCCCAGTCAAAAGAAGAAGGAAACTGGACTGACTTTTCGTGGTTATGGAAGCTGGATACCTTAAGTAAAATAAAGTCATTCTTATGGACAGTTGTCCACAACAGGTTACCCACCTCCAAAATGTTACATAATAGGAAAATCATTACCTCTAGCATTTGCAATATTTGCCAAAACGAAAAAGAAGACATGGAACATATGTTCTTTAATTGCAGGCACTCAAAACCTATTTGGGACCAATTGAAATTTTTTTACAAATACTCGGATCAACCTCGCAGTGAGCTTACTATGCATAACTGGTTGAAACCCCTTTGCCACAATAAATCCTCTTTCAACAGATTCTTATCTAAGGCAGATATCCTCCCCTTTACCCTTTGGCACATCTGGATTTACAGAAACAATTTCATCTTTAACAACAAAAAATCTCCCCTATCCTTAAAAAACATCGTTAAGAGTGCAACGGAATTTAAGTTGTTAACAGAGTCTTTCCAGAATCCTAACCCTAGGATGACCATCTACATAAAATGGAAGCCACCTGATCGGGAAATTTATAAATTAAACATAGATAGATCTAGCTTAGGCAACCCCGGGAGGGGTGGCATTGGAGGGGTTATCAGAGACTGGGAAAGCAACTGGATTATAGGCTTTAACATGTCCACCCCCCCACGCTACAAACATATATATGGAAGGCCTTGCACTTATACAGGGTCTAAAAATAACAATATAACAAAACATTAGGCGACTAATGGTTGAAACAGATTGCAGTATCTTAGTTAACATGCTTACTAACGATAATGGCCCGTACCAAAATTTGATTACTGATTGCAGATGGATGCTTACTAGAGCAGCGAGCCTCAGATCACTCACGTCTTCAGAGAAGCGAATGGAGTGGCTGATGCTATGGCAAAACATGGAAGTAACTCGAACTTTTTTGGAAATCCTATGTTGTACTTCTCCCCGCCCCCTTTTGTTGTTTCTACTTTTGAACTGGACAAGCTAGGAACTTTGTGTCCTAGAAAAGTCCCAATTTATAATAACTCTTAAAACAGGGCGGAATAAATATCTTCATTATCAAAAAAAAAAAAAAAACTTATACAAAAGCGGACAACTGGAGAAAATTTTACGTTTTGAATTATTTATCAATGACGCTTTTTATTAGTGTATCGGAACATGTTTATGGTAAAAAATAAAAAAATAAAAATAAAAAAAGAAGTTTGTACCTTGGGGATTAGCTCTTGATAAAAATTAATCTGCACATCATACATGAAATCATTGAATACAAGATATATACTTTTCATAATTCGTTTCTCTCTTAAACATGGTTATGTGATATTCTTATTTTAAATTATAACCACTAAAATTAATTTTCTTAATTCTATGTAAGCAAAAGGTAATTGTAAATACTTACCATTCACTCTGAGCTCTCGATTGAAAGGTCATGGATATAAAATAGTAATATCACAAACTCAAAAAGAATGAAAAAGTTTGATATATGGGTTTGTGAAACCACAAATATTGCCATCTCGTCTGCGTGACTAACAGAAGGCCCAAATATAATGTTCATGGGCCTTTACGACCCATATGGCCGTAAAATAGCACGTTATAGCCAGTTTTCGGACTGGTCAATCAAAAATAGCCAGTGGTTACCAAGTTAATAAAAAATAGCCACTATTTTGTTGCAATAGAGACCGGTCCAGCATAATATACTGGAGTTCGATGCACTTGTGTATGAACTCCAGCATATTATGCCGGACCGGTATACTTTGCTGGCTCCGGTATAATATACTGGAGACTGGAGCCCCGGTGCTCCAAACTCTAGTATATTATACTGGACCAATATACTTGCCGGAACTCCAGTATATTATGCTAGAGTTCTAGTGTACTTATGCTGGAACTCCATCATATTATGCTGGAGTTCCAGCATATTTTTGAACAGTGTTTTCGCTCAGATTTATCTTTATATAAAAAGTGGCTAAATTTCGATTACTTTTGAAATTGGGTTATTTTTGAACGACCAATTGTAAATCTGGCTATTTTTAAATTTGTTGTGGTTAGTTGAATCTGGTTTTGTAGCTAATGTTTTACTTACGAATAGAGTAAAAATAGCACGGGCTAGCCAATTTTCGGTCTGGTCATTCAAAAATAGCCAGCGTTTGCAAAGTCATTAAAAAATAGCCACTATTTTGCTGCAACACGGAAAGTTCCAACATAATATTTTGGAGATCAATGCACCTGTGTATGAACTTCCAGCATATTATGCTAGAACTCCAACACACGGAAAGTTCCAGTATAATATACTGGAACTCCAGTATATTATGCTAGTATATTATTCCGGATTTTGAACAGTGTTTTCGTTCAGATTTATCTTTACATGAAAAGTGGCTAAATTTCAATTACTTTTGAAACTGTGGCTATTTTTGAATGACCACTTGTAAATTTGACTATTTTTGAATTTCTCTCCGGAATAGAGGAATGATAAAACTAATTACAAATGCAATTTCCACAATCTTTAATTTATTGTGTAATCATAACAATAACACATCAAGCTAGACAACTGGTTTATTTGAAATAAAAAGTGAATACTTAAACAATTTCTCTATTATTATTAACCATTCGACATTTAAAATCTAATTGTCCAATTGATTCGTTGCCGGATAAATCTATTAAGGAGGTAAAAGCACTCCTTTTTGAAAGGTTCTCTATTTTTTGTTAGGGTCGGAAAAAGTGGCCTGACGTAGAAAGCCTACCTTAATATAAGTATTAATAGATGGTTCTACGACTCGAATTTAAACTTATAGGTCACACGGAAATAACTTTACCGTCGCTCCAACATTTCCCTTCCTCTTTCTTGTTTCGTTTACTAAGAGACATAACCACATTATTAATAATGCCTTTCCCATTCTTCATGTACTCTATTGCTTTCTTGCCATATCTTTCAAACAAATCATCCATAATTTCTTCTCCAAAATGGTCTACTAATATGGATTCTTGAACTGCTCTCATATTTCCTGCTATATATTTGGCCTTACTCTTCTCATCAAATATTATTGCTTCTTTCTCACTATTATCAGCCATGTTTGAATCCCACTTGAGTTTAAATGTCTCAAGGTGCAATATTTTGAAAGAGCCTTCCTTCTCAATAATTTGTTTATTTCTTTTGTAGAAGGTGCATATAGTGGAAGATTGAACTTGTTTAACTTGGCTTCTTCAACCAACCCCTGTGCCAACCAAAAAAAAAAAAAATCATGATCGTTCAAGATGATCTAATGTCAAGAAGCTGAGAACAGTCTTTTAGCCGGTCCATAATTTGTTGAATAAATTATATTTTATGTTAAACTAAATCATCTCTAAGTTTATTTTCTAGAGTATGAGGTGAAAGAAAAAAATTGAGTGTAAAGAATAATCAGACAGAAATTGGTCTTTAGTTCGCAATAATAAAATTCAAGTTGTGAGCAGCCATTTGTGCTCAAAATACACACTATTTTACACCTCATTATGCTATATTTTTTATCAATATTAAAAGATAGTACTATGTTCTCTTTTAATTTATTACCTTTTTATCAAATTTAGCCGTTACTATTCTATTACAATAGTATTAATTAAGCGAGATGTTTAATGATTGATAAAGCGAAGATTGGACAAATACTCTTATAAACAGGACTACTAAATTTTGAAACGATATACAAAAACCTTAAACGACAGATAATATAGACCGGAAGTAAAAAAGTATCTAAATGGAATCAAAAGATAATTTAGGAAGAAATAGAAAGAAATCACAAGCATCATCTTCATCATTTTTACAGATGAAAGTAAGAACTAAACTCCCACAATATACAATCTCTTCAGAGCGCATACTAAGAAAATTAGTAAAATCCTTTTGAAATTGAGTCAAGTAAGCTTCATGAACACTTGGAGGACTGGTTTTTGCTATGTAAATGTTGCCTTTGTTCAATGGCAAACCAGATTCAGTGACCAACCCTTTCGGAACCTGAAATTATTAGTTAGAAAATAAGTTTATAAAAAATAAGTTTAACTTTTATATAACGATAATATAAAAAAGAATGATATTTAAGAAATAATGACACATAATTGTCTGTAATTTGACTCATTAAGTTATTATGGATAGTAACATATAAATCAGAAGATTGCCTTCTGTGGAAGGTTAACTCTGAACTTCAGTCAATGGGAGGAATCCCCTTATCTAAGGTTCTTTGTATGGCACTCGATCTAGGCCTGTATTCGGAGTTTCCCTGGGGTTGGTAAGGCGAAATGAGGCCACCCTAGCCCATTGAGTGCTCTACCTCGGGCCATCGACATCATATGCTCTACTGAAATAGAATTCGCGGAAAACAAGCGGCAGACTGTAAATCTGTTGAAGTTTTTCTACGTAGGTTCGAATCCTGCCGCTTTTGGAGCCCCTCGCCTTTGAGTACGGCAGCAGCCCAGACATAGACCGAATTAGGGGCCTAAACTCTTGAGTAGATTGCCCATGGAAAGAAGCTTGGTTCAGGTAGCTCAGCTGGACTGAAAATCCTTGTGTGGTTCGAATCCACTTTACTCTTTAAATAACTTGATAGGGTAACACGATTAGCGTATACAAGTTAAACTCCTAAAAAATATATGAGTTTAAGTTTATGCACAGATAATGTAAATATTATTTATACAAGACAACTTACAAGGTGATTACAATTAAATTTAAATGATTAAGCTACAAAAACAACAAAAACAAATATTATTTGTCGTAGCCTTCGATTTCTATTACAACCTGTTGTTTCTCTTATGTCGGATTCTTAGTGCTTTATTATTTTGTTGTTATTACTGTTCTTGCATTCATTATTTTTAACATGGCTTTTTTACTATACTATTCTTTTTTTTCAAACCTGATGTGAATTGCTTTTCTTGAGCCGAAGGTCTATTCAAAACAGCCTCTTTACCTCCGCAAGGTAGTGGTAAAATCTGCATACATATTATCCCCGATATCCCACACTATGAGAATATACCGGGTATATTCTTGTTGTTTAAACTATACTAATAGTGTAAAAAGAAAAATTATAGTGTCAGTGTATAATCCTTTAACCAATTCTTGAACAAAGGAAAATGACCAACCTGAGATAGCCAATGTAGACTATAAGAAGAATGCACCAAATGAACAGAATGTTGGGGAAAAAGCCTGCCATAAAATGAACCAGGCATAGCTCCAATGAAACATGAAGCTACTCCTCTCTTTCTTTGGATCTGTTTATAAAAACTAGGCAGAAGCTTAAACACAGTGTTAAAATCGTTCCCAACAAGATCATTCAAAAAGACTTGAATATTAAGTGGCTTTTGAATATTCAGTTCTTGGCTTAATTTGTCCAAAATTTCTACCATTTCAGCTATTGGTAATATTGCATTTGGCCCTGAAGAACATCCCAACTCAGCTAGAGTTATACATTCTGGAAACCCTAAATGACAAATTCTTTGTATGCTTTCTTCAAGAATGGCTCTCACCTTAAGTATAACCAACTTCTGTATATCAAGAATCCAATAAAAGCAATATTAGTACTGGCAGATATACATGACGGGTTCTGTGAGTTCAACTAAATTCATTATTTTCGGTCGAACTATGTAAGCATATGGAAAAAAAATTAATATATATATATATAATAAGATCACACTGATTATGATCCTCGTGATTATTTTAGGTAGGGAAAGTATTTTACACAAAGTAAATGCTAGAGAGAGACATAGACTAACTTGAAGTAAGGAGTTGTTGAAATAGCTAGTTTGATCCTCCCCTCCATTCATGTGAAGAACTTGCTCAATTTCCATTTCTCTTAACCCTGCCAAATGATCTAATTTGTTGGGTTCTAGGAACTAGAAGTTAATTAGATATATATGGGCATAAGAGCATGTAATTAACTCTATATATAAACATACAGATTTGAATGTATAGTCAATTAATTAACCATGGTCACGTGTAAGCTGATATCATGGGACGAATAAGATTTCTTCACCCTTATCAGCGATTTCGGGTTTAAACCATGTGAGTGCAAGAAATTTCTGGTAGGGAATATAGATGCTTTCCCATTTAATGGCTCTACACGGCACGAATATAGATTAGAAGTAGGGGCGGAGGTAGCCCTTCTGATACGAGTTCGGCTGAACCCAGTAACTTTTGTCCAAATTCGGTATTTATTTTAAGAAGTCATCGAATTATGTAAAAATTGTCGATGTAGAACCCAGTAACTTAAAAGAATTTGAATACCGCCTCTGATTAGAAGGCCAGTGCCATATGGATTCTGATTTGTAAAAAGAATACAAAAAAAAAAAGAAAAGGTAAGTTGACTATAGTCGGTGAGAATTTAATAACTGAATATTACTAAGTACTATTTATGTTAATGCTATTAGTACTTGTGTTGTATTAAGGTCATTATAGTATTACTAGTTGCAAGGATAAACCAAAAACTTCTCCTCAAACTATGCCTCGTTCACCTTTACCAACATTAGAATTTGCCAACTTGGTAGAATACTTATTTGATGAAATTAAAACTATTTCAAAAAACAAAGAAAAGAAAGCAACTTGCTACTACTATATATATTACTCCATACAAACTCCGAGCCCAAGGTCAATGTCATTATGTCAATATATATATATAT